GGCTTTGCTCTACAGTGTCTGCTGTAATTACTCAGCTGTGCTGTTGTTCCTCTTGGGCAGTCTTGGCCAGTAAATGAATGGGCGGAGCTGTCTTGTAATAAAACTTTATTTAGAAAAACTGGCAGTGAGCCAGATTTGTCCTGGGCCGTATTTAGTTTACCCATCCATGCTCTTGGCCACGTTGTTCTATTTCCCATCTCAAGTCACTTTTTAAATCCTCACCTGAGAATATTTTTACATTGCTCTTTGGGGGTGGGGGAGAGAGAGAGAGGAACATAGATGTGAGAGAGACACATTGATTGGTTGCCTCCTGCACACACCCCAACTGGGGCAGGGGATTGAGCCTGCAACTGAGGTACGTGCCCTTTTTTTTTTTTTTTTNNNNTTTTTTTTTTTTTAATCTTTTTATTGACTTCAGAGAGAGGAAAGGAAAGGGAGAGAGAGAGATAGTAGCATCAATGATGAGAGAGTCATTGATAGAGCCCGCAACCCGGGCATGTGCCCTGACCGGAAATCGAACCCCGATCGCCTGGATCCCAGGTTGACGCTCAACTGCTGAGCTACGCCCGGCTGGGCCGTGCCCTTTTTTTATTAATTTTTTTTTAAATTCTCACCCGAGGATATTTTTTCTTTTTTCATCCTCACTGGAGGTTATTTTTTCCATTGCTTTTCAGAGAGAGTGGAAGGGGGAGAGAGAGAGAGAGAAACATCAATGTGAGAGAGACACATCGATTGGCTGCCTTCTGTCAGGGATGATCCTGCAACCCAGGTTCGTGCCCTTGGCCGGAATCGAACCCAGGGCCCTTCAGCCCGCGGACCACTGCTCTAACCACTGAGCCAAACCGGCTAGGGAAAGGTACTTCTTTTTTAAAATATATCTTATTGATTTCAGAGAGAGAAGGGAGAGGGAGAGAGAGATGGAATCATCAATGATGAGAGTCATTGGTCGCTGCCTTCTGCATGCCCCCTGCTGGGGATGGAGCCTGCACCCTGGGCATATGTCCTGACAGGGAATCTTACTGAGATTTCCTGGATCATAGGTTGATGCTTAACCACTAAACCACTCTGGCTGGGAGCAAGTTACTTTTTTTAAAGTCACAGGTTTTAAAAAGATTTGTCCATTTTTATTGATATTATATATCATGAAATTCGCCTATTTAAGTTGTATAATTCATTGGTGGTTAATATATTCACAAAATAGTGCAACCATGATCACTAGTTGTAGAACATTTTCATCGCTACGAAAAGAAACCCCATACTCATTAGTCACCTCTCATTCTTTCTTCTCTGCAGCCCGTGGCAACCACCCGCCTACCTTCTGTGTATATAGATTTGCCTGTTGTGAGCATTTCATATAGGTAAAATCAGACAGTGTGTGACCTTATGTGACTCGCTTTTATTAAGCATCATGTGTTTAAGGCTCATCCTTGGAGTAGCATGTGTCTCTTGGGTATGGACCCAGGAGCAGAAATAATTTTTTTTCACGAATCGCCAGACTTCTTCCACAGCAGCTTTACTGTTTTACACGCTCACCAGCAATGCCGAGGCTGCCAGTGTCTCCACATCCTCAGCAACACTTGTTATTGTTCATCTTCTTTGTTATAGTGAAGTCATTTTGAGTCACTTCTCTTTCTCTGCTGGGTGTGTTCCCCTTTCCCTCAGGTGGTCAGTGGCAGTGCCAGGAGTGGGAAGGTGGTTGCTCCTGGTCTACTCCTGCAGGACAGGTGCCCCATGGCCCTTGATAGCCACCTTTCCCGCTGCTAAGGTTTCGGTGGCACATGAGGTCAGTAGGTGGCGAGCTGGCCTACGAACACCGGATCGTTCATTAATCGCCCGGATCAAGGGCCCCGTCTGCAGCAGGCAGGGGTTCACTTCTTCCTCAGTGTTCGCCGTGAGGGAGTCACACTTTCTAGTTGGTTATCCTTCCCCAGAAACCCTTGGGTTAGAACCTCCCTTCTCTCTTCTTTCTTTTCCCTGAGCCTGTGTCCTCTTTGCAGGGCAGTGTCTCCTTCATCAAGGTGAACTTGACCTTTGTAAGCTTTGAGGCCCTTGCAGCCTCAGAAGGGACACATCTTATCTAGACTGGTGGGTGTTTGTCAGAAAGACTCTGCTTGTGCTCAAGAAGCATCGTTAGGTGCCCTCTGTGTACCATGCCCTGTGCCAGGCCCTTTACAAGGGCAGTCATTTACTCCCAATGGGTAATGCCCATTGCATAGACAAGGAAGCTGAGGCCCAAGGTCACACAGCTCATGGGTGGCAGAGGATGGGTTGCAGCTCAGGATGTCTGACTTTGCTGCTTCAGCTCTTGTTCCCCAGGGCATGTCACCTGTTTCCTGCTGCAGTGCTTTTCCTGGGCAGGGGGCCCTGCACAGGGCTTGGGTCCATCCTTTGGGCCTGAAGCCATCTGCAGAGTGCCTGCCTCAAGCTAACATTTTCCACAGTGTCTTCCAGCCCCCACACCTCATGCCTGGCAGAACTGGGCTAGCTTGGGGATACCAGAGATGCCCCTCCTTCCCCTTCCTTCCCCTTTCCTTAGGCTGCAAGTTCTGCTCAGACCCCCTGCCGCCTCTCTTCCTATTTCTGCTCTCAGGAGCCCTGGTGCCCCTGGGCATTCCCTTCAGACATTCTCTCCTCCAGGGACCTCTCCCTGACCTCCAGGGAGGAATCTGGTCCCTTCTGAAGTTCATGGGTGTGGCGCATTTTTACTCAAGTGCAGCACCTAGAGTGCAGAACAGGGGTGCCTTCATTCTTCTGGACTCTCCTGCATTTGACACTGGACTTGGGGCCCAGCAGGCATTTGACAGATGTTTGTTAAGTTGAATTGCTGAATGTTTTTCTGCTGTCCTTGGACCAGAATAGGGGAGGTGCAGCCTCCAGAGACTGGACCCTGGATTGTCCTCCTCAGTATTAACATTTGGCCATGAGGCTGCAAGGTCACAGGCTCTGTCTGTCCCACATAGTAGGTGCTAATAGCTAGCTTTTGAATGGAAAAAGCAAAACTTTAGGCAACACCAAAAATTCCTGCCGAACATGCCCATCAGAGAGGGACCCATGTTCCTCTGTCCTCTCACATTTGAACATGGTGGACATGCAGGGGAGGCTGGGGTGGGGCAGCAAAGCCTGAACTGTATGAAGACGGATTTCCTGTTGTCATTTTCCGTTTTAAGAGACCCCAGCCAGCCTCCCCCAGCCTCAGTCTTGTCCTCAGAGGGCTGTTGTGAATACTACTTGCTCCTGGGGGCTGGCCAGCGCTGCCCTGGCACCTCACTGGGACCCTTTCTCCATTTGATCTTCCCAGCAACCCTGTGCATTGGTGTTTTTGTTCCTATTTTACAGATGAGAAAAGTGGTACTTGGAGGTGATCTGGGTAGGTGTTTAGTACACTTTCGCGATGTTTGAATGGACGTGTCAAGAAAGCTTGTGTATTGAACTCTGGTCACTCTTTGACAATCTGCCTTGATGACAGGGAAATCCATTCTTACCCCAACTGAGTGAGCCGCACAGTCAGATGCTTGGCTCTGCCACCAGAAGGTGGGAGTTTGGGCTGGCTCTGCTTTAGGCACCCCATTTTGGTTTAATGGGCAGAAGAAGGTTCTTACAGTCAGAACCGTTAAACAGAGGAATGGATTGTATTGGGAGGCAGTGAGCTGCCCATCTCTGGGTGAACAGGAAGGGTATGTGGCCTGCGGCAGGGAGTGGTGTCCTTGGGCTGGACTCCTGCAGCCAGCAGGCTTCACTTGGCTTCTTACCAGATAGTGGGAAGACAGGGTGTGATGGTCAGAATGCTTTGAGGTTTAAGAAATCACAGGCCTTTTATTTGCTCAGAGTCATTTGTTGAGCATCTCCTATGTGTGTCAGGCCCTGCCAAGGCACCACAGAAATAAGTGGGACAGTCCCCGGCCTCCTGAGCTCCAGTTAAGTGATAGCACTTGGACAGCTGAGCACACTATGTGTAGCAGAGGGCTGTGTGTGGGCACTTGAGGGCATGGCCCTCCTGCCCACTGGGGAGCTGCCCCCTTGGTGTCTGCCCTGCCCTGTTCCCTTTTGCACCTTACATGTTATTCATTGTCTGCATAGGAGGAATTGGGTGAGTTTTCACAGCAGCTGGGTATTTTGGGCCCTCCCTTGGAGCTCTGAGAAAAAAACCTCTCCGAGCTTGCGTGCATTGTGAGTGGGGTTTTTCTTCCCTCTGATGAGTTGCCAAAGTCGATGGAAAGACATCTAGGGAATTGTAAGAAATGGTCTCCCTTCATAATAGATGCCTTGAAAAGTAACGACAGTGACAATTTTGTGGAGATTTTGCTAAGGACTTTAATTTGGTCTCAGATCTCACAGGAGGTGTGGGGGGAACGACCCCAGGCCTGTCTCACTCTAAATGCCGTGCCCTGTGTGCTGTAAAAAACTTTTCTAGGCCCCAGATGCCCTGTTTTGGGGGCTGGTCAGGCAGGGAATATAGGTGATGGGGGTAGGTGGGGGTGGGGAATGTGACACGCCTGAGACCATGACTCTCCTGGAGCTGAGCTAGCTAGCCCCTGGTCACAAGAGGGAGCTCAGATCTGCAGACTTTTCAAGAGCAAGGCCAGCCGTGCACGCTTTGCATCTGCTCCACCCTGGAGCCCTGGGGTCTCAGTGTCAAGGTGCAGAGACAAGACAGTCACTTGAAGCCAGATGGCTGGGGATTCTGCCCCCTTGTCTGAGGTTTTGTTCCCTGAGTAGAGAGGTGGTAGGAGGAATGCGTGAATCAGGTCTCAGGAGCTGCTGCCTAAACCGTAAGGTACTTACAGACGCCAGGGGTGATGGTGTTATGCACCACACTGCGGTCAGCTGAGTCTGGCCTGGGTTCACAGCCTAGTGCAGCCCATCGCAGTCACAGTCACAGTCGCAGTCACGGTCACAGTCACGGTCACGTCACCCTGATCCTTTAAGCCTCGACTTCCCCTTCCCTTGGCCCCAGGGAGGTAACTCACGAATTTCCTACCCCTGCCCCATCTGTCTTACAGGGAACACGTTCAGCACCCTGGCCGGGCTGGTCTTTGACTGGACAATTGTGAAGGACACGGAGGCCGGCGGGTTCTCAGACTCCCACAATGCATTGCGGTGAGAGCTCCCTCCCCTGTGTCGGGACATGGGGCGGGGACGTCACTGGCTCTGAGTGGCCAGGCCTCCTCCGGGCCCTTGCCACTGGGGCCGCAGTCTCCAGCATGCCAGCCAGCCTCATGGGAGACTTAGGGAAGTGCATTCGAACCACACGGTGGTGCAGGAAGTTTGATGCTTCTGCAGCCTGCTGGGTGTGCTCTGCAGAAGCTGCCAAGGAGGCTGGGTGTCCAGCTGCAGAAGAGAAAGCTTATCCCAGGTGGTGGGGGCAGGGGAAGGGTGCCGTGTGGCCCCAGAGGGCAGCCTCCTTTTGGGGGTCAGTAATGGGAGACAGGTTTCGGCTACGAGGACATTCCAGAAGTGACAGCTTTTCATGGGTGCGAGAGGCTGTGTCCCCAGCATGAGGAACAGACAGATTCCTCACCTATCTTGACTCAGTCACTCCTCCTGACAGCCATGTGGCTTATGGACCACTCTTTTCTCCATTTTTCAGACAGGAACTGAGAGTTTGAAACCATTTGTCTCATATTAGTAAATGGCAGAGGTAGAATTTGAACTCAGATCTGTATAAATCCTCACTATGTAATGCAGAGACTGCTCCCTCATCCTGGCTATTTGGGTTTAAGTTGGGCAGGACCAGGAGCCCAGTGCCGGAGGAGCATGAGCTGCTTGCAGCACTCATCACGGCGGGGCCCGTGGTGTCGCCTGTGGACAGCAGTGGCAGCACGTCTGCTGCTTCCGCAGTCCAGGCCTGGTTCCACCCCGGCTATTCTGCATTGCCTCCTGCTTTATGAAATATGTTTAAAAGAGTATAGTTCCTCTGGGGGGAGGGAACCTTAATTTTAAAAAAATTTTGCAGTCATTTTCAGCCTATGGAAAAGTTGCAAGTACAGTACAAAAGGTCCCTAAACCAGTGGTTTTCAGCTGTGTGCTGCAGGAATTGTTAAAACATGCACTACCTGACCACTTAGGAGCACTGACCTCTTTTCCCTTAGACTGTCAAGTGAAAAAGTGACAACAGCCAACATCAGTAGCCGTCTGGTGTGAATGAATCAAAATTATACCTATTTTTTTTTTGTCAGATCGGCAAAAAATTATAACATCTTTTTTGATGTCCCGCAGAAGGTTGGAAGTTGCTGCCCACACCCACCTGAGGGCAGGTTGCCAGCCCGTCACCGTCACGTGATGGCTTTCACGTGCGTTCCCTCCCCCGGAGGCACTTCCTCACCCCACACACGGCCGGATGAACACTGATGCTCTCAAGTCCTCATTCACATTTTGCCATTTATCCCAGTTTCATCGTCTGTGGCAAAACCCAGCCCAGAGTCCCTGCATGTTGTCCTGTTGCTTAGTCTCTCCATCGGCCTCGGACCATTTCATGGTCTTGACTTTCAAGACCTGGACACTTGTGAAGGCTACAGTCCAGTTATTTTGCAGAAGGTCTCTCATTTGGGGTTTATCTGATATTAGCTCCGGATTAGCTCAGAGCTTTGCATCTTTGGCAGGAATATTAAAAAGGTGGGATTCCATGTTCTTCTAATTGCATCATATGACAATGCAGTCGTCCATCACTGTCAGCACTTGGGTGGGGTGTTTGCTGGGGGTGATGAAGTCTTACCCCCTTGCAATTTGTAAGTATTTTGTGGGGAGTTTTTTTTAATTTTTTTAATTTTTTTTATCCCTTTAAAAGCCTGGCTTAGGGCTTTAGGAAATACCCAGGCTTAGCCCAGAGCATCTCCATGGCAGACACCCCCGTCCTGCCCTGGATCTTCCAGAGCCAGGGGCTCGGACCGTCAGTCTGTGTGCCCTGGGAGAGCTCTGGAATTGCTGGTGTCTCATAAAGCTGGGACATGGGCTTTGTGGTCAAAGAGATCTGGGTTCCAGTTCCAGTCTGTCACTCTTGCCTTGGGCCCTAGGGAAGGAATGTAACCCATCTGAGCATCAGCTTCCCTCTGAGGGTGGCCGTGTGGGTCAGCACGGTGACCGTGTCCAGAGCCCCTTCTGGGCCTGGTGCACACGAGATATTCAGGGGATGCTGGTTCCTGGCCCTGTTCTGTGCCATCAGGCCTGTTTACTAACATGACAGGCCCCCGAGCTTCCAGTCACCCCTTGTCTGAGTTGGCTGTTAACCGAAACCCCAGGCGCTAAGGCTTGTTGGGGCCAACGTTCTGAGTTTTCATTAAACTCAGCACGTGGCACCTAGTAAGACTGAACAAGGAGGTGGGTTATGGGTCAGTACAGCACCCATTGACCTTGGGAGAATGAAGGCATGTCCAGAGCATGGCTCTTCTTCAGGCAGAAGGGTGGGCTCATTTGTAAATCCCAGGCTATAAGTTAGAGACTATTTCAGAGCACCCTTCCCACCAGCTGCACCTGCAGCCCACGCTCTGGGGAGGCCCCACACATCTCGCCCCACCCAGGCTTCTCCCCACAGCCTGGTCCCAGGAAGGAGAAGATGGGATATGATTTCCAAGCCCTGATGCTTGAGGGGGGTCATTGAGGCTCATTTCCCAAAGGCAGGAGCTCACCCAGGGGTGTGCCGAAATGTGGCAGGTTGCCCTAGGGAGCCTGATGGACAGTTTTGACACCAACCCAGCTGGATCTGAGGTCTGGAGCCTGCTTCTTGGTTTCCATGGCTCTCACCTTTCACATCTGTGAAAGGGAAGCATTTCTACTAAGGGCATGATTCTCAGATTTCAGTGTTTGCCATAATCACATGTAGATATTGATAAAATGCAGGCCACCAGGCTTCATGCAAACAAAAGCCTGGACCAGGGGCCAAAAATCTGCGTTGTCACAGGGTGCTGACAGTTTTGATGTAGGAAGTTTCAGGGACACATTGCTAAGCACTGACTAGGGCAACACTACTGATATCAGCATCTGACACCTGCCAGGAGGTCCTGTGGCTCCGCACATCAGGTCTGACAACATGTGCTTTTCCAGAATCCTCCCATTCTTGGAGTCTACATACATCCCTCCTTCCTACATATCAGAGATGGAGAAGGTGGCCAAGCAGGGGGACACCGTCCTGGTGTCTGGGACGAGGACTGGGAGCTCCAGGCTCAGGGCGCGCATCCAGGAGGCGGTGTACCAGGTGGGCCCCGGGCGAGGAAGGTGCGGGCTTCCTGGGGGTGGGGTGGGGTGGGGAGCCGGCCGACTGTTCACCCTGGGCTCACATTCAGTAGTGGAAAGAAGATGTCCTGTCCTGAAAGTTTTACTGTTCGTGAGGGAACTTCAGGGTGTGATTCCATGTTTTTGTCAGTTTGGTTTGGTTTTCCGGGGCCACAGCTTAGCAAGAGGTGGTTGGAGCCCAGAGAGTACCACCTGGAGTCACAAAGCACTTGCTCCATTCTCAGTTTTGAGGGAGGTCAGGAGCACTGGAATTTTCCTTAATTAGCTTATTTTCAATAGTGCCCCCTGTCCTAGTATAGGGCTACATCCAAGCATTGGGGCTCTGTGAACAGTCCTGAGGTGCACTCCATGCTGTGCTCCTGTGCCCAACATTAGCCCGAGACTAGTGGTCCATTTGTGGAGGGCAGGTGCCCCTCGCCCTCCCCCACCCCCAGCACTGCCCCGGCCTTGCCAGCACCTGCTTTCCTGTCGGTGCCGTTTTGAGAGGGGTGCCACAAGAAAAGGGTGGCTTTAGTCACGGTCCTGCTCTTTCCCAGTCCCGCTGTGCCTTCTATGAACAGCAGACCTGGGCTCTTCTTTTGTTGGCCTAGCTCCTGGCACTTCATCTCCTTTTTACTCTATAAAGTGACAGATGAAAGAACCCTCCCAGATTTGGTCTCTTTAGCGAATCAACCAGTAGTTTGGGAGTGCTGGGGGTTTTGGAGACATGTCACAGGGCTGAACCTACAACACTCCGGTCTTAGGATTTGGAGACCATTTGCCTTTTAGGATTCTGGGCCCTGTGTGGTGTCCGGGCAGGTCAGGGGCTGGCCTGCAGCTGAGCTGGAGAGGCCCCTCGTCCTGCCTGTGTTGTAAATGGCTTCCCTGCCTGCCTTGCTGGAAGGGACCCACCACAGCGCCAGGCCCAAGGTGGGGCCTCTGTATATTTTTCTTTTTTTCAACGAGTCAAAGATATTACTTAATATATTGTTAAACCAGGAAGCCTGTTTTCTCCAGCTTGCAGAGTTGCCAGGCAGGTGGCGATGGAAGGTGCAGGTGCCCTACACTGCGGTGCACTAGTCCCTGCAGGCATCTTTTTCCCGTCAGATTCGCCAATGAGGACGTGGAGGTGGGGACTGAGTGGTGGGCAGGGAGGGGCCAGGAGCAGGGTCTGAGCGCTCTCAGGGACATACGCCTCCCCCTTCCAGGCTGGCCTGAGGTTTCCCAACCTTGCTGGCCTTCAGGGCTTCTGTGGGGAGAGTCCTGAGCCCCTGGTGAGCACAGAATCCACAGGTGTCACTCCCGGCTCCTCTTTCTGTTTAATTATTATTGCTGTGAACGGAGCTGTAACCCAGAGTGAGCGCTGAGTGCTTGCCGGCCGTGCATGCACCGTTCTGGGCCTTCGGGATCTGAAGGTGTTGCCTCGTTTTCTCACCTCGACCTTCCCTTTCCCCACACGTACATCCTGAAAAGTTCTAAAGGTTTCCTTTCTCTCCCCACCCCCACTCCTGTCCCGACCCCACCTCACCTTCCCACACTCTTCTTTATGCCAAGAACGTCCGCCCCGCAGAGGTCAGGCTGCTGATTTTGGAAAACATCCTTCTGAACCCAGCTTTCGATGTTTACCTGATGGTGGGGACCTCCATTCGCTACAGGGTGCAGAAGATCAGGCAAGGAAAGATTACAGGTGAGTCACTGGCTCAGTGAAAATATACATAACATAACATTGGCCACTTTTTTTTTCACAGTTCCGCAGCGTGAAGTCCACTCACACTGTTGAGTAACCATNCCTGGCTGGTGTGTTCAGCGGTTAGAGTGTCAGCCAGCACCCTGCAGGGTCAAGGGTTCAATTCCTGGTCAAGGGCACATACCCGGGTTGCAGGTTAGATCCTTGGCCCCTGTCAGGGCTCATGCAGGAGACAGCCTGTTGGTGTGTCTCTCTCACAGCTATGATTCTTTCCCCCCACCCTCCCTTCCACTCTCTAAAAGTCAATATAAAAGTATCCAGGGTAAGAATTAACCAAAAAAACAAACAGAAAAACAGCGACCTGAAACTTCAATTTGAAAAGAGTATTTTTCAGACAATGCATAATTAACTACCACTTCTAAACACAGGGTGTGCTCAGCTCCCTAGAAGCTGTTAATTATTCTTTATTAGTGATCTTAAATTAATGTAAAATAATCTTTGAGCTCTGCCAGGGGCTGGGGGTGGGGGGTGGAGAAGCAAAGCTGCTGCTTCCAGTTAGAAAATGAGAGAAGTGCTCACTGCGCCTCCAGGGGAAGTGCTCACATCCCCCTGGGGGCGGGGTGACCCTGCAGGCCCCTTAGCTTTGGCTCAGAGGCCATGTGAGAGGGCACAGAACCCTCTCCCAAATTCCCAGAGCCACACAGACTTTAGGTACTCTTGTTAATGAAATAGTTCAGGTGCAAAGAAAATGCCCATTGCCCACTTCAGAAGTAAACTGTTCCCAACGTGAACGGCCTCTGTGGAGCCCCTCAGATCCCACTCCGCCTCCCCCCCAAAGGTAACCCTAAGCTGTACCCCTGCCCCCATTCGGTGTGTATATTTCCCACGCACATTTTTATAACTTGGCTAATACAAAAGACTGTTCATGTTTTTGAACTTCAGATACAATGGTATTATAATCTATAACTTGCTTTTTTAAAATTTTCAATTGTGGTAAAAGACTTAACATAAAATTGGCCACTTTAAGCATCTTAAGTGCACAGTTCAGCAGCATGGAGTCCACTCACACTGTTGAGTAACCATCACCACCATCATCTCAGGAACTGTTTTCATCTTATAAAACTGAAACTCTGTCCCCGTCAAACACTAAGCCCCCCCTGCCCCCCGCCCCTGCAGTCACCATTCTAGTTTCTGTCTCTGTGACTTTGACTCTGAGTACTTCGAATAAGTGGAATCATGCAGCTTGGTCGTTTTGTGACAGGCTTATTTCATGTAGTGTAATGTTCTCTAGGTTCGCCCATGGTGTAGAGTGTGTCAGAATTTTTTTTTTAAGGCTGAGTAATATTCCCTAGTGTGGATGGACCGCAGTTTGTCTATCCATCACCCACCAGTGGATGGTTGGGTTGCTCCCACCTCGTGGCTGTTGTGAATGGTGCTGCTGTGGACATGGGTGTGCAAATATTCCTTTGAGACCTTTCAACTCTTTGGGTATGTATCCTGTTGTTTTCAGAATGTAAGGAGCTGTGAACTTCACATTGCACTGGGTTCTATCCCTGTTTTGCCACCGATTGCTTAGCAGCCTTTGCAAGCCATGCCCCCCTTTTGGGGCTCGTTTTTCCACCAGAGCCCTTGAGGCTGTTCTTTCTATGCTGTGAGGGCAAACTGAATGAATGGACCTAGATTTGTTCTGGAAATTCTAAAATGCTGTGTACATGTGATACATTTCATACGGTGAGTGTTCTTAATGCGGCACCAAGCCTATTAAGAACTATTATTATTATCATTTTGTTTAAAGTTCACACATTTTGTGGTCAGGGCAGGGTGTCAAGGGTCTCTGGAACAAGTGTCGCACTCGGGGACCATCAGTTGAGGGCCTGGACCCGTGTCTGGGCAGGTGCCTACCCCAGGCTGGAGGGCTGCATGCCTGGGATGCCTGGTATTGTTTTAGGAGCCGTGAGCTTCAGCTTTCAACCAGCTCTGCTGAGAGGAGTGGCATGGACAGTATTACCATGTGGCACAGCACCTCGCCCCTTAGAAGGCTACAGAAGCCAGGAACAGGCCTCCTGCCTCTGGGGCGGTCCTCGCCGACAAGGGGTGCACTGGTCAGAGGGCAGCAGATGGGTGGTTCCTGGGTGTCCGCATGTGCTGGGCAGGTAGCCCCCAGCTCCTCTGCACTGCATCAGTGTTTAAAGTGGAATGTGTAAAGCTAGGCTGGCAGACCTGGCCAGAGCCCAGGATTTACTCCAGACTTTAGGGAAGCAGAGTCTAAAAGTACAGGGATGGTCCTGAACTTGGCTTTCTGAGACTCTAAAGGGAAGGCAAGTCCTCAGGACTCTGACCCCCATGCCCTGAGGAGGAGGCAGTGGGCACATGTAGAAAGGCCAGAGGCCACCAACAGGAGGTGGTCCTGGAAATGGAAACATAACTTACACCTGAATGCTGACAAGAAGTGGCACTGCAGCAGGAGGAAGGCCGTGTGGGAGACCCCGTCACTGCTGACGTCTGGCTGTGACAGTGTTGTCCCATGCTGTGCCTTTCCTCAAAACCCAAAACGCTAGGAGGTGGGTTCTGTTAACACCCCGTTTTTTAGATGAGGAAACCGAGGCATAGAACCTCTGAAGGTCACAAGGAGTCTGGCCCTGCACCGCAC